ATAAGAGATTTATTGTACAACTGAAGTTCAAAGGGAAATAAGTGCGGTATCATTCGGGACCATTCGGGACAGTGCGCGGTCCAATACTGAGAGAATATTGACCGGCAATAGAGTATTTTGATTGTTTGATTTTAGTTATTGGCCCTCTGACTGCCCGAGTCGTGTAATAAAAACAGTTCTTTGAATGAGGCCTGGAAGACACAATCTTTCAGCTCAAGTACACAGATTTGCAGCATAGTATATTCTCGGCCACTTTGCATCTGTGGCGGCACAGTGACCTAGTGGTAAGCCTCCCGCCCTGCTACTCACAGTTTGTTCTGAGTACAACTCTCTGGTTGTTATTTGTATACATGCACAGCCAATCGGTATGCCCCCTGCCATTTGGGGTTCTAAAATGCCATGTTCAAGTTCATTTACCATGTTTATTTCCGATTTGTTTGAATAAGTGATTTCTAAATTTGTGAATGCATTGAAAATGGTCAAATGCATCCCAAGAACTGTTATTGTCATCATTATTAGAATTATTTATCATTTGCGTAACCAGGCGTATGACTGTAAATGTTCTTTTCCAGAGGTGACATGTCCAGCGTTAGGCAATTTGACAGTTGGTAGATACATCCCACCGGAATGTGACATTGGCACCTTACCCTACCCCACTAGCTGTGAGCTGAGATGTCCACCTGGTTATCATGTCAATTATCTTCCAACATCAATTTTGTCTGACTCAAGATCCTGCTTGTTGAATGGGACCTGGACGTACAGGGCAATTACCCCGACATGCTTAGGTATATTTTCGCACTCTTCAAAGAAAACTTGATAAGGCTCTGGGACTCAAAAGAGCTGCGTCAGTTTCGCTCTGACGGAAGGCTAACGTTCGAAACGTCAGCTTTGAAATCCTTTACAATGGCTAATTTACGCTATAAACTCAGTTGATAAAACCCAAACTACCTTTTAACCCTTTAAACTTTGCATTAGTGCTCGTATTCTTCACGCCGGAAGAATTTATGCGAAAATCAGGAGCTCCTCGTAGTAATGATCAATTCCTTTATTCTCACCTCCTCAGTTTACATATAATGGAAGGGTGATTCTGTGATGAGAAATTAAAAGCCAGTCACAATGATTAGGGACTGAAGGGGTCATCTTCATCATCCATGTCCATCGTCTTTCCTCGATTTTTCATTCTTCTTAAATCTTTAATCTGCCGGCTGCGATGATCTACGCGTCTAAATTGGTGCAAAAAAAAAAAAAAATCCATCTAGTGGTTCCTTGAAGTTAACTTGTAAAATCGACGTTCTCCCTTCTTTCTCAGATTTTCAACCTCCTTCATTCGGCAACAGCTGCCCGCTAGTTTTGGACTTTGACAACGACCCAGGAAAAAGCGTAGCCACAGTAACCTGGAACGTAAGTTGGACCGACAATTCTTTAATAGAGGACGAGTCAGGAATAACCGTGGATATGTTCAAGGTGAACTTGACGATTAACGACAACGACGTAGACACAACTCTCCCTAAGTTGATCGGTATCGGTGCAAACAGAGTGAAGTATGTAGTCCAAGATCGCGAATTAAACTCCGGTTCGTGCTCCTTTACCGTTACTGTTGCAGGTAAGTAGCAGCTTTTTCAAGACTTGTAAGAGTATACATAGAGAGTGAAAAGGGCTGTTTGCGTGGCGCGATAAATTGAGTATAAGAAACGAAATGTACCATTGACAGCCAGATATGGCACAAATTTATTTAATTATACATAATGACCAAATCTGTGTATGCTGCACTTGCGGTCCAGGGTTGCGTTGAACACCTATAGTTACAGCAAGGTGTAGCTTGACATGGAGAAACCAGTAGACATCGATCAATGGGACCATGTTTTTTCCATATACAAGTCGGACGGAACGGATAAAGGTGATTTATTCTTAATTG